TGTAGTTTAAAACCCTTCCCCCTTTTTCTACCACAATCTGCCCCACTAAAATGGTGTATTTCATAGATTTCAGAAATCTTTACCTGAGATTTCTGTTCAGAAACACCATCAAGACTATTTTTTCTCCTCCACAATTTAAAAAACATTATAAGCAAGGCTTTTTGCATTTTGTTTTGCTTTTTATGCTTTTTTTCTCAATGAGAAAGGTTTTTCCATTCCTTTTTGACATGAAATTTCTGTGTAAAAATCCTCCCAGTCCTCTTTATTTGCAAAAATAGCGGAATGTACAGCTTTAACCTAGAGGGAGGCAGACAATTAGAGGATATTGAGATTTCTAAGGATGCCTTCCCATTTTTATGTTCTATCATTGAATGTTAATAATGAAAAGTTTTGGATTGCAACATCATGTGCCTGAAAGCTGAGAGTGCCACAGATATGATCTTTAAATTTATTTTTATTAGTACTCACTGTACCGTGTCATGTGTACTTCCCCTTTCTGGATGTTGTATATGTTGTATAACCATGCAAATTATTTCACCAAAAATAATTTTCTACAGAGGAAATGGATACTCCTAAAGGCACAGTACCCTATTCCTGTCATTGGTCTGGAATTTAAACCCTGTTTTCTCTCATAAATGGATGTAAAAATCCAAGAAGATATAGTGTCTGTAAGAGTTAAGTATGTGTTCTGAAAATCAAATTGTTGAATTTTCTCTTTTTTTCAATAATATCTCTTTCTAGAGTTTTCCATCATAATGAATGAATGTTTTTTTCCTGCATTCAGTTATTTTTTTCCTACATTCTAATTGTATTTGGGGTTTGGGGATTTTTTTTTTGTTTTTTGTTTTTTTGGGTTTTTTGTTTGTTTTTTTGGGTTTTTTGTTTGTTTGTTTGTTTGTTTGTTTTGTTTTGTTTTGTTGGGTTTTTTTGGTTCAACACATTTTTTCCTTCAGTCGGACAAGTCCGTCTGGTCTGTGTCAAACCTATGTTTTACTTGGTAAGGTCTTCATCAGTTCCTTCCATTAAATGAAAATTTACAGGGGCAGTGTGTTGACAGCCTGTGTAACAACTCAGAGGCTTCCATTCACAAAATAAATTCTCTATGTGTTGAAGAACTCGTAAACTTTCTTTTCCAAAATTGTGTCTGTTACATGATCATATTAAAATAACTGTGCCATGATTAGGACTTTGACTGCTAATAATGATCATGATTATCACCATAAAGATTCTTTTTATTCATACTTAATCAGCTAACAATCCTGACATTTTGCTTTGTCACATGAAAGGTGAGGTTTTCAAGTGATTGAGATGACTAGATTCATTTATATGTTAGATATTTACAAGGAGTAATAAATATGCCAATAATTTCTTAGGGAAACTGAATTCTCTGTTATTGGAAGTTAAGATTAGGCACCTTTTGAAAGCACTTGAGACACAGCCACTCTTAGTCCCATACTTGGACAGGAGAAAAATGGTGTGAATATTGGTGTGATTAATAGACTTGATAAGGAGTCAGAGATCTGAAGACTGTCCGAAGTGGTGTCAGGAAGCAATTGTGATGGAGTTTAGCTTTAGCAGCTGCAGCACCAAACAAACTCAAGATACTCTTCTACTGTGGCCAGTGCAGAGCCCTTTGTATTCTCTAGATCATTCAACAAGAGAGAAATGGAGCAGCATTCTGAGCATGTGCTTTCTTACCTACGTTGAAACTTGGATTTTCATATGTTGCATGTCCTTTCTCCCTTAGTCTCCTTGTCATCAAGAAAAGAAAAAAAAAACAAAAACAAAACTAGAAACCCTTGTTTAGCATCTAATTCCAAACTGGGTATGTAATTCTGGAAAGCCTTTCAGCAAGAGGATCACTGCTCAGCCCAATCCCTTAACCCAGATGTAACCTCACCAAGTGTTTAACAGAGTTCTAAATTTTTGTCCCAAATTCTGCCAAGAGGAGCCTCACAAAAGGGAAGGCATTTCAGCCTTCAAACCCTAAACGTTTTGCCTTTATTTACCTCTGTAGGGATTTCTCAGTATTTGGGGATTTCTCAATATTTAACATTCTTATTGTCTAAAATCCCAGATTAGTCCTGTTCTTCATTAACTTTTTTCTGATTTATAGCATCCTCTTTTCCTAGGCACTTGGTAATTCAGAAGAATGGATTTAGATCATGATCCCCTATTTCTTTATTGTCATCAATACTGAAAAGTTAATTTCAAATGAAAGATGTATGCAACCTTACTGTAATATAGAAATACTTGACATTCGCTGTTGGAAGCTACACAGCTGTATTTCTCATAGTGGTAGATAAATTAGAAAACTTGCAAGACAAAAATTGACTTCCAAAACCAAAGAAACCACAGACTTTCATGTGTGTATCTAGATATGCTAACTCATGAGTCAGAAGTAAAGATTATGTTTGATTATATGGATTGTTCTTTATGTTTGATAAATAAACCGGGAGAGATTCTCATTTTATTATGCTGAATAGCTTTTTTGCAGAAACCTATGGTGCCTTTTGGGAAATAGGGTGCTCCTCAGCAAGGTAAAGTGCACAATGACTTTTACTATCATGTTCTGTGTTATCAGGGGACAGTAAGGTCATCATTCCTTGTGTAAAATTTCTACAAGTGCTTAGATTTTGTGGGTTGGTTTCTTGTTGCCATTTAACTTGTGCAATCAATTTGGGATTTTTTCCTTCTCCTGGAAATAAATACACCACCACACAAACTGGTGATGCCATAAAGAGCTGTGAATCAATATGTCCCAATCTTTTGAGTGTACTATAATTCTCAGGAAAATCTTAGATTGGTTCACATTTTATTCTACAATGTTCTCAATGTACAGTAACCATTTTTCTGTGCTATTTTACATTGTTTTTTCTAAAACTTTGTGTAGCAACGCTATTGCCTTTCAGAAAGCCAAGGGATAAGTGGATAGCAAAAGGATCTGCCTCATATGCAATCTGAAAAAGTAATCAGCAAGTAGTTAAAGTCCAGTGTGAAGAGTTGTAAATTGCAATTTGAGTTTTAGGGCATGTCTATAAGGGATAATCTAACAGTACAAAGTCATGGCCTATAAATGGAATTTTTTTATTTCTATCAACTTTTACATATGAAAAAAAGTTATTTAAACTAATTTTTCACTGTTGTTTTCAGATAGTTTCCATCCTCATTCTCATCTTAAGGTCTATGCACCTAGTTAAAAATACTCTTATACAACAACTCATTTAATGTAAGGGAGAAATGCTTTGCATGAGAATGCTAAGTTATTTTGACTATGTGCTTTAATATTAGCTTTTGCCTTTTTTATCCTGTCACTGAAAATTACTGAAAAATGCTTTTCAAGCAAAAATATTAGTAGTCCTTGAATAAGTGCTCTAAAGTTCATTTAGCATCCTTTATCACAAGTTGCAGAAATAATGGGATATTTAGACTTTTAACTAAGAGAAAAATGAAATTAGTATTTCAGCTGCTGTCCAAGAGAAGAACCTGGTATAACTAACTCAAACCCCCAGAATGATTCTGCTCTTCACTGAGGTTTTTCTATTAGGAAAAACCTTCCTGAATGACATTCTATACCTCAGCAAGGACAATTTTGTAAGCAGAAGCAGCAAAATGCACAAGAGAAATCACCAGGTACTGACAGTTTTCTCTGCAGGCCTGGAAAGAGTTACTTAGAGCACAGTGCTCCTATCAAGAAGAAGAGATCTCTGAAATATGGATAGAATTAGCAGGGGATTTTACCATTGTTACCACTTGGAGCTGCACCTGGAGCTGAAGTAACCAGGAAAACTGTGTGAAATATAAAACAGGTCACTGTAGTCAGGACCTTCTTAGGCTGACCTCCTTAGGTGCTTTTTTGAACACAACTCCAAGAAGCATGATAAATCCATGGTTGTGATGATCTAATCTTACTGCTGCAGAGGATTAACATTCAAAACAGTGAAGTCTCCATTTAAAGCCAGGTATAACCACCTAATAAAAGCCATAGTGGAAAAGCTGAGGGACCTTTTCCTTTAAGAAATAGTAGCTTATTCAATCCACAGAACTACCAGCTTCAGCATCCATTTTAGATGGAAGTACTTCCTGTTGAGTAAAATCATGATCATACTCTTTCTCCAATGATGATGGTGGGAAGGATCCCATCATGCAGATAGGGGAAATCCTAATTTTTTACTAACCCTGAAAGAACAATAAGTTGAAAGTCAGCCAGAGAACAAAATAGATTGTTATTTTCTTCTAGTAAACATTCAGAAAAGTGTTGTGTTACTCCAAAGGGGAAAGGTGTCTACAACAGATCATGTTCTTTTGCAGCTCTGCTGTGATCAGCAGGGAAAATAAAATCATGCAAAAAAGGTGTCACTCCCATCTACAGTACTGGGTAGAAAAAAGCTGCTATTAAGAATAGCGCTTTTTTCCCCCCATATTCCAGGAAGTGGCATAATTCAACTATGTTTTATTAACATATAGACATTATATTAGAGAATATTTAAGGACAGAAATTTCATAATAAGCATTGATAGATTAAAATTGAGCAAAATAAAATTAGTATTTTATACACTCCTTTTAACAAAGCCTAGTGACCACATAGAAAGGAAACTGTACTAATAGAATTTTCAAAAAAATACTACTTCAGTGGTATAGACTGGATAGGAAATCTGAGCCAAATTAAATCTGTGGACCATTTCCTAGAAATTATGGAGCCACAAGATTCTGCCTTAATTGCACAGAGTTAGTTAGTGTTAGGTTGGCAACTGTGTTCCAAGAAAGCAGTGATATTTTAAACTAAGTAGACTTTCAAGATGACAGAAACAGTTAAGAAAGCATTGTAAATTACATAGATGATTGTCAACAAGGAGAAAGAAATTTCTTTCCAATGTCAAAACCAATATTTCCTAATTTAAATCTAAAAAATAACCCGAAGTGATTTTCTGGGAAATATACAGTCTTAACAAATTTACCAAGAAAGCATTCCAGTCATTGTGCTAGCTTGAGCTAATATGATGATGGTTTATTCTCATAAATACAATATACAGCATCATAAGACTGTGGAGATACATCTTCCAAATCTGAGAAGTGCATGTCACAGCCACACCAAACAATAATTATAAAACACAGATATACTGAAAACAATAAAATTATGCAAAAAATTATAGTCTTCAATGGTCATTTAAATTAACGATATCCAAAAGTTCACAAATTCAAAGTAACACATTGATACTAATGTTCACTTGTAATAAATATATTATAGTATTGTAATGTATTGAATTCTTGTCTATCACTTACCACGGATCATGACAAAATTACATGTGGCACTAGTCTATGAAATAAGTAACGGAGTTCAATACATTTACTATTCAGTAACTACAATCACTAACATCAGGAATAATTATGTCCTGAAATTATTTTAATCCCCTTCTGTGTATGTTAGTACATATAAGTACACTTCTCTATTTGAGTTAAATTATCTAGTAAAATTACTGGCAATATTCACTTTTTGATTATCATGCTCATCTTTGAAAACCTTATGCAAAATCCTTTGAAACAGCTTCTATAAAATTTGGAGCAGACATGAGTATTGTAAATGTGCAAATGATGGCAAAAAGGGTAAATGCAACCAGACATAATCTGTCTATGACAGCAGCTGCAAACTTCCATTCACTGCAGATCTCTTCACCCTCATCTTGTTTCCTGAACCGCATCGCTATGAACTGGACTTCCTCCAGGATCTTCACCATCACTGGAAGAGTGTCCATTAAAGCTTTCTTTTGCACAAGCTCAATATCTTCTGCTAAGGGGCAGGTCATCTTCCCACCTTTGCTGCCCAGGTCGTTCTGCTGTGGGCAGCACGGGCTCTCCATGGCGTGGTAGCTGTAGATGGTGTTGCCATTGCTGGACTGGTGCCCGGGAAGGACGCTCACTTCCATGCTGTTCACGCTCAGCTGCTGCTTGGAATAGCTGTACTTGCAAGAGAGGGGCTTTATGTTTTCCCCAGGTTTTTTCATTCGTAAAAACCAAGCACACCAATTCAGCAGGACGACACGGACCTGAAAGAGAGTTACCGTGGCAGAAATACAGGAGACTCTACATCATTTAAAAAGTTTTTGTGACTATTACAGTTAGTCTGCACAGTTTCTTAGAAATACTGATGGATTTCTGTGTTCTCCAGCTATCTGCTTTCAAAATGGGTATTTGAGGGTCTAGCCTTCTACTAAGGATAGCCCTTTTTTGGATCTGTCTTGAACATAGGGATTTTCAATGCCCACTTAGCTTATAAAGCAAAAGAGATGTAAAAATCTTACTTTACAAAATGGTCCTTGGAGACTCATCTTTATTAAACACTTTGAGATGTCTGCAATTGAGCAGACAGCCCAAAATTGGCTGCGTGGTTTTCAAACATTTCTCAGATGGTAAGGAAAGAGATACAGTTAAATATTTTTGGGTGTCAATGTTTAGATTTTGCTGAAAAAAATCACTGTATGACAGATTCTAGAACATTTCCCATCCCCATTGCTATTGTTTACATCTAAATAAAAGACCTTGGTTGGGTTTTCATGGATTTTTTGAAAGCTATTTTATATTTCTTTGAGGAGTTCAACTACAGCAGGCTTTTTTTTTCAAAAGAGTAAATCTATTATATTTAGCGGTTCAAAACCTAAGTGCCGCTATTAACTGCTGTCATTTTCCTGTGTGCTGGTGCATCACGAGATGCTCTAACGTGCACATGGCAGATTGTGCCTCATATGCTTCTTGTCAAGGTCATTAAGTGAGCTAACTCCAGAGAGTGCTTCCAGAAATTTTTTCCAGTGAACTGACCTTCAGATGTTTGGTCTGAGCCTGCGCCTGCTAGAATTCCTACTGGTAACATATAAGGCAGGAAAAAGGCTGTGGATTCAGTAATGTCTTGTGTGAAGAGCAGCAAACTAAATTAGCAAAATCTTGTAATTATAAGATCCTCCAGGTGTTATGCACTCAAAAAGGCCATTTACAATGCACTTGAGAGGAACTCTCCATGCATACAGGCCTCTTTGATGACTTTATTATCCTGGTTGCAAGCCAAACAATGTGACATCAAGAAGGAAACAGATGTGGCCTCTGGTTTTCCCTTTGAGCCTTGACTCCCAAGGACTCCATGTGTAATCCTGCTTACTTTGGTCATGTTTGACTTGGGACCACACTTTGACTGCAAAAATGTTTCAGATGCAGGAAAAATTGACTCCTGTGTTTGCACAATACAGATACAGGAATGGGAAAATTACAGCTAGCACTTGGAGGTACTGCTGTAATGACAAGCATAATTTCAGAAAGGAGGAAGCCTAAGTAATCACAGATAGGAATAATAATAATAATAGCCAAAACCAATGACCAGTAAAAGGCAGTTACACAATTTTTTAATTCTGCAATGTGAGCTCTTTTATGTCACAGTCCTGTACCATTTTCTGTGAGCCACTTTGCTTCTCTCCCTCTAGTCAATGTTTTGTTCTTCATCATTGTCATGTTTTGTCTGGAATAGACTTAATTTTTTACCTAGTAGCTGGTACAGCATGGTGTTTTAGATTCAGTATGAGAATAATGTTGATAAAATACTGATGTTTTGGTTGTTGGAAAGTAGTGCTTACCCTGAATCAAGGACTTTTCAATTTCCGGTACTCTACCAGTGAGCACGTGCACACAATGCCATGAGGAAGCATAGCCAGGACAGCTGACCTTAACTAGCCAGAGGGATCTTCCAAAAGGATATAAAGTGTGGGCAGTTGGTTGGAGGCTGTCAATTGCTTCTCAAAAACAGGCTGTGCATCAGTCAGCAGGTGGTGAGCAATTGTATAGTGCATCACCTGTTTCTCTTGCATTTTATTACTCTCTCTCATCATTGCAGTTATTATTTTTTATTATTGTTACTCATTATTATAATTAATATTATTCATATTATTCTATTGTATTCTGTTTCAATTATTAAACTGTTCTTCTCTCAACCCACAAAGTGTTGGAGTTTTATTCTCACCATCACAAGGGAAGGGAGCTGGGATGTGAGCAACTGGCTTTCTGGTACTTAAATGCCAGCTAGATTTAAACTATGAAAGTCCTGCAAGACTGTTTTCCATTATTCATATTATTTTGCTTTAAATATTTCATTATTTTCTCTATAGTCACCACAAACAAATAGTTACCCATAGTGTTGCAGCCTGAAAAACAGATTCTGCCTTTAATGGAACTTAATTATAATTAAGTGCTCAGACTGCTCATGGACACAAAATGGGACAACATGGAACAAAATAAAGGTCTTAATTTCTAGCAATGTGTCAACAGTGTCAGTTGCAAAGGGGAGAGAGAAGTTAATTCTATAGGAGTGTGAAATCCAAAACACTTAGACATACTTTCTTATTAGAAAATGTTAATACATCTGCCTTAACTCTGAAAGGATATATGAGGTGAAAAAGCACTTTTATATTGGAATGCTGCTTTTTCCTTCAAGACAGAGTTTTTCTTCCTTAGGGAAATTACTTTTATAACTACAGTCAAACCCATTTCCCATAGAAAAATAAATACCCAGAAGACAGTAACACAGCTTTTAATTAGCTTGGATTTCAAATGCCCTATTTCCTTGAAAACACAGACACTCAGGCATCAATCTGTTCTTGTCATAACAATTAATTCAAGAGACAGCTGCAGCATACAGGTTTTTGGATTACAGCTGAGTATGAAAATATGAATCTACACCTTCATCTGCATTGTCATATATAGAGTTTTATGAAGGAAGTACACAGGTACAGCTGTCTTTAGAGGTCAACAACCCCTCTGTGAGCCTCTCCTATCTACAATACAGCTATACTACTTACTTCCATCAGAGCCACCAGCCTGGCCTAGCCCAGAGCAGACAGTCTCCAGTTAAAGCTCTCTTGATAAGGGACATCTGCACCTAGGAGAACTGTGCATGTCCGAGTTTGAACCATATCAACAGAGAAGCCTAAAACACAACAAACCTGCTTTAAGCACAACAAAGAGACAGAGTTTTCTTGCCTTTTCCCACAAAACCCCTTCTTCCCTCAGTGCTTGGTCTCTCTATATCTCTTTACCATGAAACAGTCTTGGCTGTCATTAGAGAAAGGTCAGCTGAGCTGTAGTCCATACCTGATGTTATCCACTCCCAAACAGCTCCTTAGCTGGCCTTCTTTAGTGTTTTTTTTCCATGCTATCTCAGCAGACATTATCAAAAGTGTCCATCGGCCAGCAGCTCTCATTTCTCAACTGAGTAGCCAACAAATGCCCTGACTGAACACCCTGGATTTAAATTCCTCTCTTGGAAAAAGCTGGTTTGCAAGTCATCAAAGATTAATAGAAAGGAAGACACAATTCCAAGCAATGGTATAAGGAAAGTGAACACCTACAGAGAGGATAAACACTAACAGGCCCTCTCCTCCCTCTTCTATTGCAAAGTGCAAGCACAGACCCCTTGAGAGACAGGCAGGGAAAAAAACTGCTCAACTGTAAATGGTTTAGAAAGCAGCTGTGTTTAGGAAATGCATCCATTCAAATCTTCTGGGTCTGCAGAAGCTCCCACACATGCCAAATTGTCCAATGCCTCTCCCTGCAACTGACTCCAGCAGACAAATCCATTTAAGCAGGAGGTGAGAACAATCCTGCAACAATATCCAATTAATCAGGGCTAGAGCTTGCAATAAGCTGATGCCTGGCTCTGACATGAAGAGAACATTGTGGGAATAAGTAAATGGTAAGGGCAGCAGCTGGTACTGGAAATGCAGAAAAATGTAATGCAAAAAATTTTCGTCTTTCTTAAGCTACTTCTTCACTTCAGTTTTTTTTTTTTTACTGAGAAAAAGTCAGTCTCGGTGTCTGTAAGAAACACCTGACATAGGTGGACAGGCAAAACTGAAAAAAAAAAAAAAAAAAAAGAAAAACCCCAAAACAGCAACAAAAAGAATAGAGACTAACACAAATTCTAACAACTGAGCCTTGGCTATGGCTTGTAGAGTATAAGTGCTTACTTTTATGGGGTCAGCCTCTTCCCTACACACTTGGCATTCACATTTTTCCTCCTGAGATCCCTCAGCCCTGTAAACTTGTCTGGTCTACGCCTTTTAGAGTCTATCATCTGCACTTCCCAGTTATGCTTTCCTCAGCTTCCTGATGGCATGTTGTGTAATGTATGTCAGTTCAGCTGTCAGGCCACTGAACAAGGTTTCTCCTGAAGGACAATTTGTGTTTCCAGACAAGAAAACATGAGACTGGTAGAGAGCAAGAGCTGACTTGCAGGGCCTGGGAGGTGGACTAACATGAGGCATTGTGTCTGGGCTCCTCAAAAAGCAATAAAATGGGTTCTGTTACACCGCTGCAGAATCTGTCCATGACGATATCTGAAAAATGTTTCCCATATTTGTGCCCTCAGGTTTTGCCTACAAGATGGCTCATTCCAGCTGGTGCATTCAGAATGCACATTCTCTGCTGCCTTGAAAGTAAGAGGTTTTTTAATCATACAGCACTTTGGGAAATAATTGGGAAATGTCAGGATAATTGTGTAGCATGAAAAATGTGGTGAACAAGATATTCAGAGGATGTTGTACAACCAGTCTCCTACAAACAGGGTGGTAGATAGTTGACTGTGACTATCTGCTTCTGCTTTTGTCCTTTTTCATTCTCTGAACACAAGCATATCTTGGCTATTTTAAAATCTTTTAAATAGATGGAACATAATTTCCTTTTAACTTGAAAATCTAAGGGAAACATTCCATTTGAAAGCCAGCTGGCATTGGTGCCAGACCTCTCTGGGCTGACAAAGTCTGCTGCTGCAGAGAAAAGAGGGTTCACATGCTAATGCACTGGGAATAGATCAGATGGCAGCAGACAAACTGCCCAGTAGAGACTAGTGCTTGTTTAGCACATTCTGTCAGTTGGGTGGTGAATGAGATTACTTTGCAATGACTCAACCACTCCATCATAATGTTGAAAACAAAGGCCAAATAGGAGGAACTATTTTTAATGGAGAATAGGAGAAACTGGTTTTAGTGGAAAAGCACATTTAGTATACTTGATCTTTCCCTTCAATTGCAAACAAAAGCATCAACTATGTTGTTTGTAACTGACTCTTCAAATTAATGGAAAACTACTTCTGCCTCTCACCTATAACAAGTTAACAAGTTCACTGTAGCTTTTAGACAATTTTCTTTTCTTTCAGTAGTAACCTCCTGAATGTTTCTCACGAAAGCTGCTTACCCATTTGGGCATCTTTCCTGCTTGGGGGTCATGATGGTGAAACTGCAGAACCAGCACTGTTACCACCACAGACAGACCAACGATGACCATGATGCTAGCGAAATACTGAGCTGCAAGCAAAAGGAGGACTTGGTTACAGGGGGGGAAATACAAGGAGCACATAATATTATTCCTTGGCTATGCCTCAAGAGCTACATTTGAGAAGCACTGCATCACATCTGAACACCCTCTTCTCTGGTTTGCTGCACTGGAGCATTTGAGCTGTGTATCTGCTCAACTCCCTTCTCTCCTGTGAGGGAAGGCCCTGAACACACGGAAGGTGAAAACTGTTTGGGTTTTGTCCCTGAAAAGGAGTCTAGGGCCTCACAGTAAGAAGACCTTTGAGCCTGCTGCCAGGACAGTGAGAAGTTGAGCTGACAACATCCACTGAACACCAGCATTCCCAGTCCTAGGCCTTCCATGGTACCAGTAGAGGTGCTGGAGGGAGATGCTGTCCTCTTGGTGCCTCTGCATCCCTCCAAAAAGTGTCACCAGTTCCCCACCTTTGCAGCACTACTGCTCCCAGGTGACTAGGCATATTTCTCATTACTCTTCTTAGTACTCAAGACCACTTCTTCCAGTTCCTATGAAAGTACAATAAAACCTCCTTGAATGTTAAATTTTAATCTGCCGTGCAGGAAAGAAACCAAGATCTTGAAAGCCAAACTGAGGCTTAAAGCCACATCTCCTAAGTGGCAGTACAGTTTCCTCATGCCAGAAGTGAGGTTGATGCGCTGGAGTGTAAAGCAGAATTGCCCAAGGGGTAATGACATTTGAGGGCTTCAGTGGCAAAATACCAGGGAGCATTACTGTTGGCTGACATAATGGTGCAATGTGGGAGAGCACATCACACTGCCCCAGACTGCAGGCTCTTGCACCCCCCAACCCTCCCTCCTGCAGCCTGAAGGAAAAGTAAAGAAATCAATCAAAGCTCCAAAGCAAGTTTTGTTCTGCCTGTGTTTCTTAATACCAAATCCTACTGCTTTGGAAGCAAAAAGCTTGTCTACAATAATGAGGTTCTAAGGCCTTCCTGAAAACAACGCTGGAATTGCTTCAAGAGGTATGGCTTTTCATGACAAAATGAATTACATATCTAGATTAGAAGAATAGTCCCAAGGGTGAGATGAATTTAAAGGTCTCTATTGCACTTATTCATAGAGAGGAGAGTCAACAAGCAGGCAGAAGCAGAGCAAACCAGGTTTCATGGAAGTTGTTACATGTCCCATGTTAGAGAAACACAGCAGTGTTGATATTGTTGGTTTAATTACTACCATGAGTGAGTAAATAACTTCCTTAAACTCTACGTATTTTGATGCCACCAGACTTCAAAGGCCCGAAATAGTCCATTTAAAATGGCTTTAGCTAAGATTTTTCACATATCCTTGGAAAATTAGTCACCTGGTTAAACTTGGAAACAACCTGATAATATCTGACTCAAGATCCTAGCCAATGATTAGCAAAGGCATTGATGCTCCCAAGTGTTTTTGTGCTGTAAAGCCAGGAACAGATGTCAGGAAACTGCTGTATAGAACAGCTGTTAAATAGAAAACAGTTCTCTCCAGAACAGCCTGGGAACCAGAAGGGAGCCAGGGACCCATAAAGAAAGATATTTTATAGTTTTGCCTGGTGGTAGGCAAGGAAGAAGCTGGAGATGTGTCATCTGCATTTTGAGGGGAGCAGTGGGGTGCTCCCATTCAAGGTACACTGAAGTCTTCAGTTGGAAAGTAAGGATGGAGGACCTAGTGCATGGTACTTGAGCCCTATGTGTTAGTGTGAGGCAATCAAATGTGTACAAGACATCTCTAAAATCTGGCAGGTAGATCTATGCCCATCAGGTAGGTGCAGGTGCTGTATTCAGAGAGAAAGTCACAAAGTCCTGGAAATGCCCAGCACAGCTCTAAGGCTGGATTTTGGCAGTCCTAAAGAGACAACAGTGAAAGTGGAGGAAAAATATAGCAATAACTGGCACAGCTGCTGGTCTTTCACATCTCTAGCTGGAGATATGATTAGTTCTACCTTCTCCTGTCACACAAAAGGATGCACAGCCTCCTTTTGTGTGACAGGAGAAGGTAGAACTAATAGCCATTGATCACAAAGGAATTGCTAGATCACATGCCCATGCATCCCCTGGACTGAAAACCCTGACTGTCCTTACAATCTAGAACCAGGCATGGATGGCCAAGACCCTGGGTCCAGACTCATTGACCACTCCCCTGTAAGGGAAGGGAAGGAAAGCCCTCAGAACTCCATGGGTATGCCCACTAGGAAAAAAAAAAAAAAGGTATGGTTCTGAAATTATATCCTTTCTTACTCAGCATTTTCTGATTTTTCTTCCAGGGTTTAATCCTCCATCCTCTCTTTCCTGGCAGCAGAAAAACATAGTCTTACTGCATCAGGAGAACTGATGAAGAAGACTCCTGTGCTGTCCTCCATACACCTCCTTAAAAGCATGGCCTAATCTTCCAGTCTGCTCATTTCTGTTCCTGACAGAACAGAAAGTCTTTTGCCCTTGCACCAGCAAGGTAAAACCCATCACTTGGTGACAGCTACAAGGGCTGCTGTCCCTGTTCACCTGTGAGGAGCCAATTCAGTTTTGTTATGCCTTAACAATGGTTGTCAGAGGCACGCAGGGCAAGGGTTGCACGTGTGCCACATCCAGGAGGCAGCTAGGAGAAGATGGAGGAAAGCCTTGTCTCTGGGCAGACTTTGCCTGGCCACCAGTTCATGTCCCACATGGGACAGGCAGTCCCATGAGCAGGGGAACACTGAAAACACTGTACCCCAGTGTCCAGTGTCCAGTCAGATGGCAAAAGGTCTCTGCCGATGGACTGCTCTGGGACATCAGACTGGGACAATGGTCTCCTGTCAGCAGGCAGACTTTGGGAGGTGCTGGGGGCATAAAAGGTATCAGCATTATAAGCCCTGGGGTCTCTTTAGGGCCTGTTCTATCCTTTGCCTTTTGTCCTTTTGGGAACTTCTTGAGTCTTAAGCTTTTGCCCTGGCCCCAGCTGACCTTTGGGCTCTCCTGCCCTCACTGGCTCTTGCTCACCCGTGCGTCTGCCCTGCCTTCCTGTGTCCCTGAGCAGTGCCCTGCCTGCTTCATCTCTGCATCCCGGCCTGAGCCACCTGCGTCCAACCCTGCTCGCCTCCGAGTCTGCCCACCACCGTGATCCTCGCCGTGACCCTGTCCAGGGTCCTGCCCTCCGGCCTGATCCCTCTCCCCTCGTGTCTGGCCACAGCAAGATCTGCCCACAGGCAGGCAGTGTGCACAGCCTTGGGGCAGCGAGGGCGCTCCCCAACTTCTGGAGGTAGTGCCCTCTTTTTCCCTCTGTCTCCTCTCTCTCTCCCTCTCTCCCAGTTTTCTTCCTCTTGCTCCATCTTCCCTAGCTCTCTTTAGTAGAGTAAATCCTTTTTATTTTGTCTTTTCATTACCAGTAAATGGTTCTCAGATATAACATTTGCCTCGTTTGGCTTAATTTCGTTCCAGACCATCCATTATTAAAAGAACTCCTTGCAGTTCCCCACAGAGGAACTCAACATAACCTCTGGCACCCTCTCTGATTATGACTATGACTCAGCCTTCTCCAGCAACCCTGTGAGCAGAGAAGCCTTTCTGCTTAAAGGATCAAGCTACAATGCTCATGGATAACACTTCCGTTAGAGCCACAAGGCTTCAGTCTTCACTCATTCTACCCTAGCCCCACACTGCCCTGAATTAGCAAACTCTCTTTCTGGGTCTCCACTGATGTGGCTGAGCACAGAAATAGGATGTGGTCCGGTGAGGTGGGGCATGGTGGGGTACAAGAGACCAATGAGATTTGGTCTCCCAAGCAACAGCCTTGGCCTAGCCACCAGACCTTTCTAGCAGTATTTTAGGAACCATCCTAAATCCTTTTTATTCATTTAGGCCTTTGAAGCTGTTGCCCCCACAAAGTCCTGTGCCCATGTGTCTGTTGGCGGAGGCAAAAGTAAATTTGGTTTTACAAAGAAGCTCAGCCCCTTTTACTTAAACTGCAAGAGGAAAATGCTTAACAATTCCCACTAAACATCCCTCTGTGTCCTACTTGTAACTCCTAGTTATTAGATTAGCTTAGAATCTTTACCAATTCCCTTCACTGTGGGAAGTGTCAGGAACAGCAACCCCAGATCAGGGTGCATGTGAAAGACCCAGGATCTGGTTGCTGATAATTCACCTGATAATTGGAAGTGACTGCTCTGGGTAACTGCCACAAGCCAGAAAAATGCACCAGACAACCTGTTAGACAATGCATTCTTCAAAGCCATGTTCTTCCTGTGCTCAGGCTCTATCATTCACAGCCTAAATGGTGAACAAGACATCTGAAAAATAGGAGGACTCCAAAAGATGCTACCCACAACCACTGCATGCCTCACCATCGGCAACCTCGCCCTAATTGGAACACCATTCCTAGCAGGGTTCTACTCAAAAGACCAAATCATTGAAAGCCTAAACACATCCTACCTAAACACCTGAGCCCTACTTCTAACCCTTCTAGCCACATCATTCACCGCAGTGTACACGATCTGCATGACCATATTAGTACAGACCAGCTTCATTTGAATTCCACCCTGTGTTAGGAGCCCCTCAACAGGCCTCAGGGAAACTGAGGTCTGTACCAGTCACTTCTAAATGCTCTTCATAGGTTTTAAAACCAGTAGGATGCTTTCTTCAGCAGAGGTGAGTGAACAGAACAGCTGGTTTGGATGCTTGATTGATCTTCAAGAAGTATGAAATATTTGCTGTTGTATAAATGATATTCTTCCTTTTCTTTGCCAGAGGAATTATGTAACAATTTGGACAGCAGTTTTAAATCTAGGAGTTGTCATCATCTGTCCCAGGACAATCAGAAGATGATCAGGTGCTGTTATAATAACAAATATGGATCTAATAAAACCACAGATAGTCAGAAGATCTTCTAAAAAGTCAGTGAGAACAGCTATTTGTTCTTTGCAGGCAGCTATTTGTTCTTTGATGTCACCTACATCAAAAATATAGCAATAATTTGCAATTCATAATTTGAAGAGCATTCAGAACCATTTTTTGATGTTTTTT